ATGGCATACACTTGAGTAGATTCCTTTTTTTTGCACACTAATATTCTGCTGGCTTTGCTTGCTGCAGCTTGGCATTGCATGCCATTGCTGAGTCTGTTGTCTCCTAGGACCCCCATATATTTTTCCATCCTGGATTCCCCCCAAGGGTTCTCCCCCTGATTGGACACAGCTGGTCACATTAAAAGACAGCTCTGATTGGCCCTTTACTTGGACACATGATCAGCTGTGTCCGAAGAACATAGCGATCACAGATCACACAAGGTGCACACCCCAGAGGGCGCAGGGGGTGTGGTTCTGGGAGGACATCCATGGACGCCCTCCCAGAATTTGTTAACTGCACTGTAGCCGTCTTTTTGCTATAGCGCAGATGGGTATTGATTATAGCGTATTTCCATGTTTGCAGTCATAATTGTGAAAACCCCACTATATTTTTGTTTTGGTCCCATTGACATAGCATAACTGAAAAAAATATATCTTTCTTACCTTTTAGATGTTTCTTAGGAGAGGGTGTCATGGCTGACTGCAAACATTACTGAACAAGTTCAGTGGAAGTCTGTCCCAATAAAAAAATTTAAATTATAAGCTGCAACTTTTAAAAGATTTTTTTTACGTTGTGCTAAGTGAATGCGAGCATCTAAAAAATATAAAGTGGTTGCTATCCTAGTTTGGCTGCAAACATTATATAATGCAGCATCATCCTTAACAAATAAAATATTTTAAGTGACTAGGGGACACAAAAACTCACACAACAGGCTGTATTTTAACAGCACTATACAAAGGCAGTAAATTACATAGGCTATTATAAAGTTAGTCAACATGGCTACTGTTAGCCAACTTGGCTAATGGATGTAGACACAAGAAAATGAGTGTGATAAACCTGTCCCAGCTTTCTCCTCCAAAATGCTGATGAAACTGTCAAAGATGCTGCCAAGCTGGAAGCTAAACTTGACGAAGCGTCTGGCTTCAGCACTACCTTCATATCACACTGCATCTGAGTAATCTGCTAACCGCTGGGACACTGTGTCTCAGAGGACATTGTGATTACATACATTGCTGGTACATGGGAGTCATTTAAAGGAGATATTTCATCCATCCTCTTGCTTATAATCCATTTCCTTTTATTTATTAGAACTATGTAAGGGTAAAGATTATCAGAGAGCTGTACGCTCTGCATAAATGTATGGAAGCATGTTGCATATACCTTGCACAAAATATTTCTTTGGAATCAAGAATCCTGTGTTTTAATATAATGACTGTCCCTAAGTTTCATGTGGCAAAGTATAGGATATCACACTTTAAATACTTTGTTAGGATGAATGAAGACACCAGCTGATCAAGGTAAACCAATTGAAAAATGAATAAATAAATTGAAAACCTGTATAAAGAGAACTATAAACTCACAGTTGATTGAGAACTATGCAAAAATAAAATCTCTTAAAAACATTCTATTCGCTCCAACAGGAAAAGGATTCCTTCCTAATACACTAAAGCCCCGTACACACAATGAGCATATTCTACTAATGATTGACCCTTTATTTTTTGGCATGTTAGTCTCAAATAAAAAACAAATAGGTTACTAGAGTTACGGAAATTCTCGTAAGACAGAATAGAACTCCCATGTTGATGTAATGTATTGTATTGTAATGTAGTCTTTCATTTTTGAGCATGCACAGCAAGGGCGGACTGACAACTCATGGGGTTCCCGGGCAATAGGGGATCATGGGGCCCCTGTGTACTTGCCCAAACTCAAAAAAGCCTATGAAAAAGGTACCAGGGCATCTCATGGGGCCCCCTACTGACCCTGGGCCCTTGGGCAGTGCCTGAGTTTCCAAATGGTCAGTCCGCCCCTGATGCAGTGTTGGTCACTTTTTATGGACGAATAGTGTACTGATTACATGAAAATTGTTTGTTTCGTTATATTAGGAGAAAACAATGTTGTAATTGTCCCTTCGGATAATTTTACATAAGCTGTCATGATTGGCTCTTGAAAGCTGTGTACTAACGATCGGTCCCAAATCTGTATTAATCATCCAATTTTCTTATTTTGTGTACTAGGCATAAGGCAACTGGTTATTCCCTGGATCAACATCTATGGTGTTATCAGACTAAGCTATACTTTACTATACTATATCAGGATTAGACTACAAGGGAAGTATTCTGACTCCAACTCTGTTGTATTAATGAATGATCCCTTGCTGAGACCTCTATGCCTGGCCTGTATAAGCAGATACAATTACTGTGTACAGTCTCAATAAATACCTGTTTTTCTCATCTATGGATCTTTATTATAATGCAGAAGGTACACCAGAAAACAAGTTGTAGCAGATGAATGAAAGGATGGTATTTGCAGATAAAAACATGGTAATGTATTCTCGAATGGTAGCAGATTGCATGAGGCCTAGAGACAAGCAACCATATTCATCCCAAAGACAGTGTACAAGAAGGAAAAAGGAAGTGCATCACAGGTGAAAGGGATCAGGATGAAAGACAGAAAAGGAAGGTGAAATAACCAAAATGTCCATAAGATGGCAGTATATTAACAATAACCATACCTATGCATTGCATTCTATTGTTACACAATAACTGTAACTGCACAGGAAGAGATTCTTTATAGTAAGAGTAGTTAAACTAGTAGTAAACTGCACAATTTTTTAAATTGTCAATAAAATGCAGCGCTAAAATATACAAATTGCAATGACGTAGATAAATAGATAAATAAAAGTCTTAAAAAGGTGCAATGTGATAGTCGTGGTTCATTAGATGGTTGTTAAATTATCGTGACTTCCGTGTCTTGTGAAAAATGAGTATACAATGCACTAACCAGATAGCACAAAGTTATGTGCATTGGAGTAAATAAGACCTACTCCACGATGCTCTGGGGACGGGAACTCTGCAGACAGGTGAAGTCGTTAGGTGGAGTTGAGTCACCAGATGTCATCAGACCAAAACAGATTTCCTCATTCCAGTGTAGTGTGTAATCATCATTATAGATACATCATGTAGTATGGATTTCAGCCACCGGGGGGATCATACACTTAAGTGTAAGTCGCCTATCAGGGTGCACCTTGAAGGAGGGGGGGCTCACAATTTCCAAAAAATGAGCCCAGAGAGAGAGAAAAAAAGCTCCAATAGTGTAGTATTTATTGAGCAAGTGGAGTTATAATAATAAACAGATAAAAAATGGACACTTACATCCGGGGAAAAATGCAGTGGCATAACAGGTCAATAGTCCATGCACAGGGGGTTCTCCGTACCACACATGGAGAATGTGTGATTACACAAAACGCGTCAGAGAGACCCCCCTGTGCATGGACTATTGACCTGTTATGCCACTGCATTTTTCCCTGGACGTAAGTGTCCGTTTTTTATCTGTTTATTATTATAACTTTGTGCTATCTGGTTAGTGCATTGTATACTCATTTTTCACAAGACACGGAAGTCACGATAATCTAACAACCATCTAATGAACCACGACTATCACATTGCACCTTTTTAAGACTTTTATTTATCTATTTATCTACGTCATCGCAATTTGTAAATTTTAGCGCTGCATTTTATTGACTATTTTATATACTATTGGAGGATTTAAGGTATTCCCTCTTATATTGCTGGCTGCTGATCCTGTTTTCATCTGCTACCCAGCGCTCGTATAGTGACTGCTTTAAAAAAAAATTTAATTGCCCCACTGCAGGTTTTATGCCATATTGCGCTGAGCTATCACAACCAGGGGCGGACTGACAACTCATGGGGCCCCCGGGCAATAGGGGATCATGGGGCCCCTGTTTCCTTGCCCACACTCAAAGCACACCCAAAAAAGCCAATAAAAGGTACCAGGGGCCTTTCATGGGGCCCGCTACTGACCCTGGGCCCTCGGGCAGTGCCCGAGTGCTTGAATGGTCAGTCCGCCCCTGATCACAACTATCTTCACTCTTCCTTCCTGGTTCACACTCTCCGGCTGTTTGAACGACCAGGCTGCAATGATGTCACTTTTATGCATGCACACAGGATTCACTATCATGGCACGGCACTCTCTGCATTCAGGGTGCACTCATTGTGCCCTGAATGCATAGCATACTGCACCTGTTCAAGTGATGTCAACTGATGTGAATAGCTACTAAACTCCATAAGTATATATGTATATATTCATGGTACTTACAGGTATGACTTATTATAAGTGTACCCAGAGGCAGAAGTTTAAAAACAGTTTGCTACCTCTTTAAGTTGTAGAATGCCTTACTAGAAACATTTGTTATGGTAAGAACAATAATGATATCTAAAAAAAGGACTGTATAATGTTATTGCAACTAAATAGCATTCAAAGTTATTACTTTTAGAGGTGATGAGAGAAATATTGTGATTGATTGATTGATTGATCTGGGGGAAGTGGTGATTACTTTTTTTTCTCATTTAAGGCAATATTAGTGACAGTTTTACAGTTACATTCCTCTGAACCAAAGCAATGAGTTGAATGATTGAACTAGATGAACATCTCCCATTTTTTCATAAACTCTTAAAACTCTGGCCACAACTATGCAGCAGCATTTAAATCTTTACAAACGGTTATAACCCCACAGTGTTCAGACCTAAACACATTGGGGTTGATTTACTAAAGGGAAATAGACTGTGCACTTTGCGAAGTGCAGTTGCACTCTGCAAGTGCAGTTGCTCCAGAACTTAGTAAATGAGGTAAAGCTTCACTTTGCAAAGAGTACCCAATCACATGCAAGGAAAATAAAAAAAAACAGAATTTTTGCTTGCACATGATTGGAAGATGAAAATCAGCAGAGCTTCTGCTCATTTACTAAGCTCTGGAGCAACTGCACTTGCAGAGTGAAGCTGCACTTTGCAAAGTACACAGTTTATTTGCCTTTAGTAAATCAACCTTAATGTTGGCTAGTTGTAGGCTTTAACAACCTTCCGCTCGCCATATAGTACAAGGTGGTTCTCGTGTTCTGATAGGACGTCATATGACGTCCTTCCATTCTCACCGCGCATGCGCAGCTCAGGGAGCGCGCAGCGCGGCGATCGCCGGTGCGCTGTGTCCCTCAGACACAGCGGATCACGGAAAGAGCCGAAGATGTCGGCTCGGTCATGTGATCAGCTGTGTCCAATCACAGCTGATCACATGTAAACAGGGAAATGCCGGTTATCGGCATTTCTCTCCTCTCAAACTGTCACGCTGACAGCTCGAGAGGAGAGCCGGTAATCGGCTTTCCGCGGAGGGGACATGTACACTGATCATCAGGGCACTGATGATCAGTGTGCCCTGATGATCAGTGTGGCCCCAGAAGTGTCACCTGTCAGTGTCCATCAGTGCCAGCAGTCAGTGCTCATCAGTGCCACGTGCCAGTGCCCATCAGTGCCACATCAATGCCACATATCAGTGCATACCAGTGCACATCAATGCCACATATCAGTGCCCATCTGAGCTGCCTTTCAATGTCACCCATCAGTGCCAGTCAGTGCCACATATCAATGCCAATCAGTGCCACCTATCAGTGCTGCCAATCAGTGCTACCTATCAGTTCCAGTCAGTGTCACCTATCAGTGCGCATCACTGCCGCCTATCAGTGCCAGTCAGTGCCACCTATCAGTGCCAGTCAGTGCCGCCTATCAGTGCCAGTCAGTGCCACCTAACAGTGCCAGTCAGTGCTGCCTAACAGTGCCAGCCAGTGCCGCCTATCAGTGCCAGTCAGTGCTGCCTATCAGTGCTGCCTATCAGTGCCATATATCAGTGTCATGTATGAGTGCTGCCTTTCAGTGCCCATCAGTGATGCCTGTCAATGCCTATCAGTGCAACCTACCAGTGCCTCCTGATCAGTGCCCATCAGTGCCACCTATCAGTGTCTATCGGTGCAGCCTATCAGTGCCCATCACTGCAGCCTCATTAGCGCACATCAGTGAAGGAAAAAAATCACTTATTTACAAAACTGTATAAAAAAAACTAAGAAAAAACATTTTTTTTTCAAAATTTTCAGTGGTTTTTGGTTTGTTTAAGAAAAAATAAAAATCCCAAAGGTGATTAAATACCACCAAAAGAAAGCTCTATCTGTATCAAAAAAATGATAAAAATGTCCTATGGGTACAGTGTTGCATGACCGCGCAATTGTCATTCAAAGTGTGACAGCGCTGAAAGCTGGAAATTTGCCTGGGCAGGAAGAGGGTATAAGTGCCCTGTAGGCTAGTGGTTAAGTTAACAGGTGCCATGGTCTGTCTGAAGTTAATATAGTCCATTGCCACTGTTTTCCTTTTGCTGAATGAGTGCTGAGACCTGTGTAATTGATGTATAAATATTTTGAGATCCTGCAATCCTGCATGGCAGTACTGAAGTTTTTATAGCTGTGAGAGGCCCACAGCTTGCACATTTGAGACCAGTAGTCAAAATGTAGCCTTCAGAAGAAGAAAGAAACTAAGGCTGGTGTGAAGAAGTATGATGTTCTTTAAGGCAACATTCACATGTACATGTATTCCAACATCAGTTTTGGATGCATGGTACATGTTTTGCAAAGCAATAAATGTGTAGAAATGCTTATAGTTCTGTGTTGGTAGTGGTTTTTAAAAACATATATTGAAGATCCTTTGGCTTAGATACTTTACATATTATTCTAATATGTTCTTAAAGAATTATAAAGGCAGGAAAAAAACTTAATTATACGGCCCCACATTTCACCTTTTACCTGTAAAAATTATCAAGCGTTAAAATTGAGGTAGAAATAATCCTAAACTGCAGAATGAAATTAATCTCTATGCAACTTCGGAAAGTTCCAATATTTCTGATTAGTTCATTGGCTCATTGAACCAATAATGTAGATGGCAAATCAATGAACCAATAATACAGTCAGAGATGGGAGAACATTTCCAGTTTCCCAGGTTCCAAAGCTGCAAGCAACACTGAACCTAATTTTCACAAGTAGTTTTAACCTGTTAATTTTACCAGAAAATAAAAATGATTTGTAACAGATAACACCTGGTTCGGAAAAATAACTGCGGTTAAAAAAAAAATGGTATAGAACTGCGGTTAAAAAAAAAAATAGTAAAGTTAAAAACTGTCAAAATTGGCCACTGTGAAATACCAGTGAAAAGTTTTCTAAGTACAATAAATGTACAAACTAGGAAAATGCTGGTTTACGTAAAAGTAGAACTAGAAAGACATCTATTCAGCACCTGAAAGTCCCTGTGGAGTAATGTCTCTTTGAGCTGTTTTGTTTTTGTCTGTCAGAATCAAATTCCTATTGTGTTCTTACTGCCTAATTGCTGTGAATACGTGTGAAATATTGCAACATAAATCCCTCATAAAAACAATACTTTCCCAAGTTGTAGAAGGGGTGCTACACTCTTCTCAGTGTAGGCAGGGCATAGGAGAGATCAGGATTTATTCTGTGAAGGGTTGTAGGAAAATACACTCATCTCAGCTACTAGTGGTAGGCACTAGAGGGAGCATGTGCATTCAAAGGAAACTTGACATGTAGGCTTTCATTGCTGATCTCTCCTTCCAAGGATGCTAATTGCCTGGCAGTCATGCTGGTGCTTTGACTAATATTTTATGAATTGCTGGCATAAAACAAATACAGATACAATGAATTTTATAATCTATGTAACTGTGTTGGGTGTGCAGTGTTGACATTATTCGTGTAGGTGCATTCATTTATTTGTTGGGATGTGTGAGCAAGTGGTAATGCATGCAAAAGTATACAGTAAATAGGTCCTTAAAATATAGCTAAAGGCAAAAATTTTTTTTTAGTTTTGGACAGGGTGAAGATGGATAAGAACACCTTTTAGGTTTTTATTGCAGTTTGTGCCCCCATTAGGGAGATTCACCCTCTTTATTTATCCTATTTACTATTATCATCAAAATTGAAAGTAAAAGAAACCCCCAATTTTAGGGTTGTCTCCAGAAAAGTAATAGAGGGGAAATTTTCCCTAGTCCTGGTTGACTTGGGGGCCAAGGAATTCCCTTAACGTATAGGAATTTTCTCTCACTTCTGGTTTTGGCTATGGGACAGGAAGTGAAGGTAAATCTCCCCAATGGGACAAAGATGGCAAAAAATAAACTAGCTGGGGTCATCACCCACCCTTACTCTATCCAAAAAGTTTTGCCTATAGTTCTATTTTAAGCCAACCCCTCAACAGAACCTTTAAAACTTAACTGCCCACTCCACCAACACTTTTGTTTTAAATTGTTCCTAACCCTAAAATGTAACCTAAGTCCACAAGGAAGCCCTCAACACCCCTCCCCTGGAAGTTAACTTCTAAACAGAGCTTTAATACTAAACACTGTTCAGCAGGAACCGGCCAGCATTCAGACCATGTGTACAGCTGTCCTTCTGACAGAAGCCAGTCTAAGGACTAGTTTTTGTCTAAGGGACATGCTGGAAAACCAACATCCGATCACTGCTCACAGCCAATGGTGAGTCCCCCTGTCACAACACAAAAGCACAGTGAGAGAGATCGCTGTACTAGCATTGTGTCAGGAAACACATAGCAGCAGACAAGATGGTTCTTCTGAATGGCATCCCCTGCATAGGCACAGGTTATTTCATGTTCCTTTACATACACATAGATGATGTGCATGTGCTCATGTACATGCATAACTCTCCACGTACATCTGTTGCTCATGTGTGCGTATATGTTGCTTGCACCAAGAGGGCTTTTTAAACCGGAACCTGTGCCAGTGCTGCACAACGTTCCTGCATAGCTGCAACCACTGTTGCTTTGCATCAGGCTACTGTTACAGACCAGCAATTCTTGACTTCTGAACTCTACCTACACTAACACTGGCCTGCCTCTGAACTTTCTTCTGCCTGTGCCCCTTGCTTCCACCCCACTGATCTGTTACCAACCCGGTCTGTATCCTGACTTTGCTCTTGCGTAAGCATCTGCACCTGATCCATCTGCCTGTGTATGACCCAGTTCGTCTGCCCATCATTTCTGGACTGCCTGCTGTGAGCCCCTGCCTATATTCCACTGGTGCCTGTTTAACACCTGTCTTCTGCCAGCCGGTGCCAATCTACTGTCACCAGTGCCAGCCTTCTCCTGTTTCCTGCTCACTGGTGTACACCCATCACTCCTTTTCTGCTGTTGTCTACTGATAGTCCTCCCCTGCTTTATCCAGAGAGTCTGTCCAGCCCTTCTGCAACAAGACCAATAGGCACTCATGTCACTCTTTACTCCTGCTCCATCTGTCTGCTCTAACAGGGGCCTGGGCCAGAAGTGTAAGAGAGGCCTTCCTCATTGTATCAGGTTCTTCTACTAGGTACGTGACACATTGCTTGAACAAAAAAAAACTCAATATGTGTGCCAGGTTATAACCTTGACTTGCCAACACTTGATCCATATCCTGTCCTTTAAAACCTATTCACCTAACTCCAAGGCCTCATTCACAAGGGCAAAAAGAGCCCCCCTGCAGATTCCTGTGGCAAGTACGCTACAAATACCAGTGGCCAGTATCCCAGGTGTTCTGATCACCAATATCATCTAAGCCTGTGCAACTAAATTTCAGGCTAAAAGGAGATGGGACTGTTCACAGCTGAAAGCATGAATCTGCTAGTATCCACACATCTAGCGGTTACCCACAGTTAAAGAATGATGTCTGCCCCTGGACCAGATAGATTGTGTCCAGGGACAGATATCTATGCCTAACCACAAATAAGCACTATATATGAGGATATCTGTAGGCTAATTTTGCGCATGTGAATGAGACCTTTTACTTCACCTACTCTCTACAGGGGGCTTTTAACACTTAACCCTTCACCTGTGCACCATAGAATAGCTATGTTCTATTTTACAGTTGTATTGCCTCTCTATCAGAGCAGAATGTTATCTCAGTGTCAGTCTAAGGTTGATCTGAGTATCTTCTTTGGTTCTGAGCCCTACTTCAGATCAGGGCTGTTGAATGACATTCTGCCTGGGGTGCTGTACTCACTTTCTTTCACGTATTCTTGAAAGCACCTTTATTATAAGAGAGTCTTGCAGTATCTGTTGTCAGGTGGCAGAACATAGGTCAGGCAGAACATAGGATGACCTTACAGCCCAACTGTCTTGCTCTGAGAGGAAGAGAATAAAATAAATAATCAAAAATCAAGAAAACTGAGTGGTAAGCTGCACTACACTAACAGGTAGAAAGTGAAGATCCAAATAGTCAGAAATGGCCATTCATTACCAATTCTCTTGTTGAAGAGTGCCACTATACTCACATGTTGTAATACAGGTGCAGGGCCCTTTTAAAGAAGAATCCCAGGAAAGAGATTACTTTGTACGTTTACTTTGGGCCAGCTTGGCTCAAGCAATTTATGCAGATGCCACCTAGGTGTGTCTGATGCTTCTGGCAGGTGCTCCAACAACTTCCCATCTATGTGCTAAATAGAGAGCGTCACTTGCTTTGGCACCTCCACTTTGTAACTTTTTTTTATTACTGAATACAAAGCTTTCTCTGATTGGCTGAGGTGAAGAGGCAGATGACATAACAAGCTTTGCTTTGGTCAATCAGAGAAAGTCTTGTAATT